AACTTGGGCTTTTTTGTCAGAGTATAACTTTAATCCTACACAAAAGTATAAAACTTATTTTTTAATTAGTCTGTAGAATGATATTGCTATTTTGTCAATCATTACCCTTGTACCTTCTGCCATAGCAACTGCCTCCGAGGTGATTGTGCTGGGGCCGCGTTTGCCAGCCTGTTTGGCGCAAAACTGGTCGAGTGAACAGAAGACTGAACATGTGTCACCTGCCTCTGTTTCCATAGCCATCGCGTCGCGAAGGCCGCTTGACTCTCTCCGTCGGCTGCGTAAAGCGGCCAATAAGGCCGGTCATTCAACACCAGCCGCAAGATCAGTAGGTCCTCTCGACTTGGTCGCCAACACTGGGTTGACATCGGGCGCCAAGGTAACCGTTTGCATGCCAGCCATTACTGTCTGGCATAAGTCGGGTAAATCGTCACTACAGCCCGATGCAATGAGGCATTCATCATTACTATGCACTGCTTCATCATCGCCACAGATGCAACGTTTTGATCAGAGCCACCACGGCAATCTGGAATCCCAAGGACTGGGCGGACAAGTTGCCAATTATTTATCGGAGCCCACACGACAATCGAGTTTATCACACACAACTTCTCTCAGTTTGACTAGTATGGGGCAACAGGGCCAAGGAGCAAGTGTGAGCAACTCTTTCGGGCAAAGTTCTAACAAACGCGGCAGAGACTTCGCCTGGCAGACGAATGGAGTGACCAATTACTTTGGCGGCAATGGGCGTAGGGCCGGTGTTACGGGATTATCTGTTGGTGGTCGTGCTTCTGGTCTCCAAGCGACCAACTCTAATCCGATTGTGCTAACCTTCCTGAGTCAAAAGCCTCCCTCGACTGACCATGAAGCTCGGCATTTGTGCATTTCAATGCAACCGTTTGAGCAAGTCTGTCTTGCTCCTGCCATTCTTGAACTCGATTCTAACATTACGAAGCCGACGAACGGGGTGGTACCACCAACAGCTGCTGCCACAGAGACGCTGCACACCGCATCAACTGACCGGTACGCTTGGCGCTATCTGCAAAAGATTATTGGCCGCAGGATCGGGAATCCAGCTAGTTTGTCTGAGGGAGGCAGATTGAGTGGCCCAGCCGAAACGGTTATTCTTACTAGATCAACAAATCCCGAACCTGTTTAGGTGAGTCCAATATCAAACAAAGGAGCCAAGAAGGGAAACATGTATCTGTTTTATTTATCCTCCAGCTAATCAGGCCTGAGTTAAGTCACCGTTAACGCAGACACTGGCTTGGACACTTGACAAATTAGCTGCTGTCGATTGCATAAATCAGCAAAAAACGGTGTAACTTAAAAACTCCTGCAGGCAGCATAAAACAGGTTATTAAAGGTCTTCATAGCTCCATTTAGCCTTTCTTCTCACTCTTAACGATTCAAACAATCCCAAGTTTGCCGGCCTTGTCTCATCCTATACGCTTATTTCCCATCACTCTTTCAACCCTTTAGATCACAATAAATATGCATTGCGCCAGCACCGATCCCACCCTCAACTTCCATGCCTTTCCTTTGTGCCAGACTTGCGAATTCACCTCAAAGTAATTACTGGATCCTATAAATCAGTCTTTCAGTATACGCAGACATCCAAACATATGAAATCAGGCTCACATTAGTTTACTCTTTATAAAGCCTCCAGCTTACCAAATCGCAGGTCAATTATTTCCCCTTGGGAAGTTTGTAAACTGCTGGAAAGTATTTGACTTACTTAAAGTACAGAAAACCTCCTTTTATAGGTAACTTTTAGAAAATAGTTTATCTGCACACGTGAGTGTGATTATGTGAGGGTATGAGCGTACATACATGCGTCCTTGCTTCTGTGCAAATACCCATTTGTAATACGTATTACTACAATGTATGTATGCACAGTCATATACGATATGATAAAGATTTTATTTAAAGTTTTTTGTTTTTTCCATGTGATAGAAGGCGCTAAACTATCCGTTTCGTCAGCATTTTTACGTTAGAACGGACTGCAATAAGTCCAGTAAAAATGAGAACAATTTCGATTGAGGCATTTCTATATGATGGGAGATCAAATTTTTGCGAGAACACATGATTTTCCATATGGCTTTGTAGACATTCATTTTTTGGCCTTTCATATAGACTTGATGGAAAGGCTCGTTTTCCATAATGACTATTGCATTAGTATGTGTCCAAAGTTTGAGGTATCATCCAGAATGGGCTTCAGTTCTGCCTCGTTTAAGTCTAATTAGTATTGCCAACAGAATCCAGATCCAGGCATTATTAGTCAAAAGTAGGTAAGCTATCACTATATATGCGCCTAACACAGTTGAGTTGCAATGAGGATACGCCTTTAAATTTAGGGAAATATTTGGTGCATGCTATCTCTTTAATCGAATACGCTAAGCTCAATCAAAATTACTTCGCAACTATTTTAGAGACAAGGAGTATATACTTGTTATGTTTATAGGCGTCTGTCTATTTCTGCGACTCATCTTTCCGTTTTTCCTCCGATTTCTTGAACTATTTTTCATAGGCATCTCACTTGCTTGATTTATTCAACTATGCTCATAGTAAATATATATATTTGC